TTTCTATTTTGTTTTCTCGCAGTCTCTCTGGGCTTATGTTTTATCTCAGCCATCATTTAATGAGTTTCTCTGCTCTTCAAGAACCATAGAAGTTTCACGTTCTTTGTTTCATTTTATTTTCCAATATTTATATGAATGAGATGTTAACATCCAGTTTTATACATGAATCTCCCTCTGCAAAAGGTTCAACAACTTGCCCAATGTAAGTCTTTCTGACACTAAAGTCATCACTTCTTCCACCACACTGTCATCTCCAAATGAGCTGGGTACAAAGTGGTCCCTAATAATTCTAGGTTACCTTGAACCTCTTTATTCCAGAATTCATCATCTAATAGCAAAATTTTTGTATGTCAGTAATAAAACTAGAAATGAAGAAATCTCAAAGTATTAGCAACAAGAGCCCAATAAGTATGAAACACCCAGCAAAAGAAACTATTTATATCGGCTAGATCTAAACTTGTCTATGTCAGTTAATATTATTTATGCTACCCCATCTCAAAGGGTATACTAGAATTTCAGGTTATAAAGATGTGGTTTCAATTAAATATATTAAAGTAGTTCTCTAAACAGTTATTGTACAGTGTCCAGTTATTCACTAAGAAAAAAGCATTTAATGTTCTGGTTAGTGGTGACTTACTACAATGTTTCCATCCTTGGGCTCTTGGCCACAGTCCAATCATAAACATGTTGTACCCTGCTATGGTACAACTGGAGAAAACCACTTGTTAACAGAGGCTCCTATCAGGACCTTTGAGGAACTGAATCTCTTTGTGAATAACCAGCTCCTAAGAAATATCTGATCTAACCATAACATGATCTCAAAATTTTTGCCTCTCCACATGCTATTTCAGAACCTGTGAAGAGCACACTACACAGATTGGTAGCAGAGCAATTTCAACTGGTCCAATGTATGAGTATCGACTTTTTATCCTTTAGAGCTTTACTGCTGCCACTCAAGGGCAAATTAGGAAGTAATTCCAAAAAATGCGGCCAATGGTAATTTTCTACATTGTGAGCACAGGAAAGGAGAAAATAAAAGAAAAGATAAATAGGTTACTTTAGTGCTATCCTTAGTAACTCTGTCCAATCTTGGCAATGACAAACCTATATAAACTTTAACCAAATAAAGGCAATGCAGCCAGAAGATGAATTTTGCCACTTGGCTCACAGTCCTGATCCTGAGAAAACTGTTAATTCCCTGATGTCACTAAATACTCCCTACCAGTTGAGAAATGTATTAATTCAAAAAATCCATTTTCCACATAAAAGAGAAGCTTTAGCACAATAATGTTCTTTTGTCTAAACATTATTTATTCATTGCCACTGAGAATTTTAAAACAATGCAATTTGGAATAAACATATGCCTGGTTAATGTTATCCTTTAGAGAGAAATAAAAATTAATAATTTAAAACCATATAGTTCTAAGGCATCTGTTTTGATAGAAATGTACTCTTGAGGTAGAACAGTGAACACTTACTCAAAAATCAGAAATATTGGAGGAATCCCAACTTCTCAGATGGTAAAAGTAGTCTATCTGTAAATACAAAGGGTTTTTAATCCTTATATAGCTTGTCATTTCTAATAATGTGAAGAAATGTGTTGATAAATATCTTTAAAAGAATGAGTTGTTGTTGTTTTTTTTTAACTTCTCTGTCTGTGTTAAAAACAAACACTGGTATACTTTGAAATAAATTGTCAGTCATGTCCTGTGTGATTTTATAAAAATAACATAGACACTAATTGCTAATTATGACAGTGACTGGCTTACTGGATTCAATTGGAGATTAATCTAGTTCACATTTTTCAAAGCACAGCACTAATACTCTGGACTCCTAATCCGGATCCTCTACATTAGAATCCCAGGGGAAGCATTTCCATTCAACATTCCAGGTAATTGTAGGCATGCTAAAGCTTTAAAATCACAGTAATTATATTTTGCCATAGAAATTTCCGAAGATTTGTCAAATTATTTAACACTTGATTAAATGATTGTACATGTTCTTTGAACTTTAAGGTAATAAAGTAATATATTATTCATATGTTATATATAAGCATATTCAAAAATAGATTTATGTTAAATAATAAACATTTGGAGTGCTTCTTTGGAAGTATTGTTTTAAGGAGTAGTTCATTAATATTGTTTTGTTGAGGACTCACAGCAACTGTACAAAGTATTATGTTTATCCCCCATTTTATGATAAGGAAAAGAGGTAACTAATTTGAATAAATTGCCTGAGGTCACACACCTAGCAAGTGGCAGAGCCAACTTTGGACTCATGCAATCTAGCTTCCAAACCTCTTCTTAATCACCAGGTCATACTATATCTTAAAGGTTTTTCATTGAAAACTGATCTGCTAAGAAGTCATAATAATAGGAAAATGCTTTTAACACATTATTAGTTGAAAACAAGAGGAACGAAGGCAAGGAGGAGGGAAGAGAGGAAGGAGAAAATAGAAAGGAGGAGGGGGAGAGAAAGGATCTTACAAAACAATATAGACACAACTGTCTTGCAGTGAAAATACACATAGGAAAAAAAAGACTAAAAAGGTATAAACCAAACTACTTATTATCTGATGATGGGGTTGCAGTAATTTACTGTGTTTGCTCTATTTTCCAAATTCCCTGTAATGAGAGAATGAATGATCATGGATTGCTCTTATAATCAGGAAACAATAAATGAGTCATTTTACAGGCTGATTATATATGTCTTAGTTGACCTGTTCCATAAATATATGAATTGATTTAGATTTTTAATTATACTTGTTACTTAGCTACCTTTAGAACTACATAAATATTTAACTGTTTTTAAAAAACTTTGAAGAATGGTTTAATCCTTATATGTAACTTCTATATTTTTATATTATGTTTATGTGCTCTATGAAGAAAAACATGCAAAACACATTGTGGCATTAAAATAAGTATGTTATTTCTACATCACTGCAGTGGAAAACATTCCAATCTTATTTTGTTCTCCAATATTATGTACATAATGAAATAAATAAGATTATTTATCAACACATTTTATTTTACATTTGTTTTCTTATTCTGATCAGAATTCATTTTGTTAGAATCCAGAAAAACTGTACCTTAAAATGAAAGGTAAGAACAGATATTTGCACACTCGTGTTCATAGTAGCACTATGCACAAGCATTATTCACAAGCCAAATAATTCATTGCACTATTCACAAGTACCAAAGGTGGAAGCAACTTATGTTGATTCCATCAGCAGATAAGTGAATAAACAAAATGTGGTACAACTGTACAATGGAATATTTTTCAGACTTAAAAAGGAAGGAAATTCTGACACAGGCTACAAAATGGATGGACCTTGGAGACATTATGCTAAGTGAAATAATCCAGTCACAAAGAACAAATATTATATGATTTCACTTATACGAGGTGACTAGAGTTGTCAAATTCATAGAGACAGAAAGTAGAGTGCTGAAGGAAGGAGAGAAATGGAGAGTCAGAGTTTACAAGGTACAGAGTTTTAGGGAAGGTGAAAAGTTCTGAAGATGGAGAGCAGTGTTGTTTGTACAGTGTGAATGTAGTTAATGGCATAGAACTGTCCACTTAAAATGGTTAAAATAGTCAAGTTTATGTTATATATAAATTTCCTCAATAAATAAATAAACTTGGTGTGGTGGCTCATACATGTAATCCTAGCACTTTGCAAATTTGAGGTATGTAGACCACTTGAGAACATCCTTGGCAACATGGCAAAACCCCATCTCTACAAAAAGTAAAAAAATTAGCCAGGCATGGTGGTGCATGCCTGTAGTCCCAGCTACTCAAGGACTGAGGCCACAGGATCACTTGAGCCTGACAGGTTGAGGCTGCAATGAGCTATGATCACGCCACTGCATTCCAGCCTAGGTGACAGAGTGAAACACTTCCTCAAATAATAAGTAAAATTAAAATAAATTAATTAATAAAATAAAAGATGTTAAATAGTATTTTTTTCATTTGTTATTCTGTTCAAGACAGATCACATTCTCAAAATCTTAAAATGTCCTATTCATAAGGGTTGCACTCCTAAAGATGCTTTAATAGACATCTTTTTTTAGAAACTTTGCATTTATCGCCTCGTAATTGGTCTTTGATCATAATATATCCCTACTTATTGAACTCCTCCTGTGGCTGTCATTCACATTATAAATAAAATCCACATTCTGCAAAAGATGCTTTATAATATTGATCTCTGTGCATAGAAATATACCTACACGTATGTCCCCTCTCTCTTTCCTTCTCTCTCTGTATCTCTCTCTCTGTCCTTCCTACAGCTGCACAGGTTTCTTGCTGTTTCTGGTACATACCAACTTTCTATCATTGGCAAAGACATGACACACAATACTTCCACCCCTAGAAAGCTTCCCCTAGACTTCTGTGTTCCTTTTCAGCAAGGTCATTCCTAAAGGCCCCATCCAAAACAGTGCTGCTTCTAAGATGCAGCCACTCTACTCTATAGTCTTCTCTCTGTGTTTCCTCCTTAGCATTTCCATAACTAAAATGCTGTACGGTTCACTGGTGTGTTTCCTTTCTTTCTGTAGTGCAGTGTGAGCTCCAGGAGAACACACATCTTAACTGTCTTGTTACCACTGTATCTCCGGTGTCACAGCACTTAGCACAGTGCCTGGTACAAAGTAAATACTCAGCGAATACTGCGTGTGCAACTGTTTGTATAAACATATTCAAAATACCTTATTGGCTGTCATTGATATTTGTGGTATAGATAAAACGGGATTGAGGCTTGCAATAGTAAGGATGAACCATTTCTGAATCAACAAATAGTTAAGTAGGTGGTCATCTGTTCTCTGAGATAACATCCTGATTGTAGGTAATAGAATTCATAAAAATGGACTCAACCTTTTTCTCCACTGAGAAATATTTAGAATATGAGCTTTTGTCAGGTATTTTCTTAAATGCTTTACATTCATTGTAGCATTTCATCCTCATAACACTATAAGGTAAATATTATTATTATTACCATTTTACAGATACAGAAACTGAGGTACAAGAGTCATTTACCCCAGGTCGAGTAAGTATTCAAATTGGATTTCACTATTAGCAATGATTCCCAAGCTAATGCCTTTAAGCAGTATTGACTGTGGCTTTCCCTAAACACAGATAAGTTTTATTTATCGTGGCATTTTCTTTATTATTGATTACATTTAAAATGTGTGCTTGTTCAAAAAAGTGAAGATATGAATATTCAAATAAGAAAATAATATAAAAATAATCCCTAATCCTTTAATTAGACATTGCCACTTTAAAAATAAATTTTCCTTATCTTTGGGCTTTGCATAGACAACTTAAAATAAATCAAAATGAAAGAGGAATGAAAATAGTGAACTCGTAAAATTCCAGAATAAGCAAAGTCCTAAAAAGATATTTTTTTCATTTAACTTGTTAAATGTTTTTTTCAACTGTAGCCATTCAATTTTTACTTTATGATATGGAATGAGGAGTGAAATTTTCCTTACCAAAATTTTTTTTTAAACAACTGACCTAGCAGACAGTAGGTATATTCTTTTATGTAAGTAAAAATAAAATGGTTTAAAGGGTATTCGAAAAGTTTTAATTGAATAATATAGCATAATATTTATTCCATAAATTAAAAATATTTTAAGTAGTTATTAATGTTAGATTCATAGTGGCTTCTAATACCTTTAGGGAAATAAGAATGATGTGACCTCTTACTGTCTAACTCAACTTCCCTGGTTAAACCGTATCTGTGATAATTAATCATATTTTGAACAGATTTTCTCTGAGCAGGTATTTTTCATATGTGTGAAAATGACCCATAAGAGCTTCAACAGATAATGCCAGAGGATGGGGCTCTCTTAAGAATATGTACTTATCCACACTAGTAGTGCAATCTTACCCTTGGGTCTGTAAATTTAACTTAATAGATATTCCACATGCATACTGTAAGAACATAAGGCAGGAAATATAGAAAAATTGAACGCTCCCACAGTGACAAATAGTAAAATTATACTAAAAATAGCTGCACAGGGATTGTTTTACAATATTATTGTAGGCTCTTGTCACTGGAAAATAGTGTTTTTCTTGCAATACATTGCAATGTTATATGATACGTTATTATAAAAAAATTATGTTGACATCATTTAATGGAGTAAAAAAATTTTGTTTTGTAATTTGGTCTACTCTATTAGACAACAGTCATCTCAATATGTCCTTCAAAATACAAAGAATTATTTTTTCAAATATAATAGAGATTCAGTGAAAACTACAGAAAGTATATAAATAAGGATTTTATGGTGCTTACAAAACTGAATAAAAGATCATACCTCTCTTTAGGGAACTTATAAATTAGGAGGGGGTGGGATTTTTAAAAACACACTATATTATATATACAATACATATATAGCATGTTCTCTAATTGCTACAAAATCCTGAGGCAATTTAGAGAAAAAAGTGACCATAAAAAATATGATTAGGAAATAATGGGGAGATGCATAAATCCTGATGTTTCATCAGGGTAATGGTTTTAATTTGGATCCTGAAGTATTAGTAGGTTATTAATAGGCAAGGATCTCTTTATTCCTTATACACATATTAATTTAGCATTGTACTATGAACTTGTCCAAGAGCTAGACAGATCAATTGAACAGCATTAACTAAACTCTACTCTAAAGCCTTTCGATAAACAAATACTAGATAAATTAGGTAAGTTCAGATACTGATAATTTCTATTGCAATAATAAGATAGGATAACAGCAAGTTGCTTGAGAGTAAGTTTCAAGCAAACTTGAAAGTTGTTTGAAAGAGGGGAGAAAGGGGCCTTTTTGTGAGGTAGGGCTTTCTGGAAACACAGTATCTGAATAAATATTAAAAGCCAATCTCAAATAGAGCATTTCAGAAAAAAGGAAATAGATTTATTAGAGATTCCGAGATTGAAACAATATTGGTCATGAGTTCAAGAAACAATAACTAGAACAAAACGGTGGTGGTACAGAATGAGGTCAGATTAGAGAGGTAGACACAGATCGTACTGTGCAGGATCAAGGAGATATTCAAGGCAGAAAGAACAGTTAGAGCCAAAAATACAATTCAGAGCACATAGAGCACAGTGGTTGAACATATGTGGCTACTGGGATCAAATGGCTTGGCTTCAAATTCTAGCTCTTCCACCTCCTGTTTGTTTATCATTGACCACATTATCTATTTTTTTGAGCTTCAGCCTTCTCATTTTTAAAGCAAAAATAACGATGATGCCCATCTTTCCATGTGTGATGAGTACTACTTGGTATAATGCATGAACATACAAGGCTTAGCAACGTGTCCAGCACTAACAAAGTAACCATTCTAGAGTATTTGGGAGAACAGAATTAAGTCCAGTTTAATTGTTACATATAAGGAAGAGTAATGGAAAGTAAGCAGAATATGAAACATCAGACTGTTTCATAAGCAAGAGAAAATCCTTACACTCCTTTTAGCAGGGAAGTGATGTGGCAGCAGCAGGCTTTGGGTAGATTAATATAGCAATTGTTGACAGAATATTTTGGATATTGGAGACAAGAAAATAAGCAATTTGGCCCGGCGCAGTGGCTCATGCCTGTAATCCCAGCACTTTGGGAGGCCGAGGCGGGCGGATCACGAGGTCAGGAGATCGAGACAATCCTGGCTAACACGGTGAGGTGAAACCCCATCTCTACTAAAAATACAAAAAATTAACCAGGCGTGGTAGCGGGCGCCTTTAGACCCAGCTACTCGGGAGGCTGAGGCAGGAGAATGGTGTGAACCCGGGAGACGAGCCGAGATCGCGCCACTGTACTCCAGCCTGGGCGACAGAGCAGACTCCGCCTCAAAAAAAAAAAAAAGGTTAACTTGGCAGGACTTTGTGACTAAATTAATGAGTACAATCTTAGGAGCCTGAGAGATTATATAATTGAAATACAGATGGTGGGGAGGGAACCAGTTTGAGTCAGAAGAAAATTAGTCAACTGTAGACCTGCTGCTCTGAGATTCCTGCAGCTATCCAGCAAGCAGTTGGAAATGCAAGAGTAAACTAAGGGGAAAAGTACTGGTTGGAAGTGTAGGTTAACATGCAGATTTTAGCTGCAGCTTTCTGATTGTCGGTTGGATTGTCAAGAGAAAAGAATGAAGATAAAAGAGCGGAATACTAAGGATAAAACCCTAAGGTCCAAGTATATTTCACTAATAAGACCAGAAGAATGAGTTTATAAATGAGATAGGGGAGTGATCCGCATGGTCAAAGGAAAGACAGAAGAACAGGGACCATATTCTACATGTCAATTGCTGGATATAAATGATACCTAAATAATGAATTTAAGCATTTTAACTCAGATATTCAGTTTATGGGATGGCAAACAACTGATTTAAAAATTGTTTATAATGCTTTTTTTTTTTTTTGCTCATAATGAAAATAATGTAAAAATTCATGAACTCTGTATTTTTCCTGTATATTCTAATTTACTTACTCTCATAGCGAACTTTTTTTTAATGTTCCAGTTTTAAAGCCTAGAATAACTTCCTAAGGAAACTGTGAAATATTCAGACCCATAACAGCTTCCTAGAAAGTAGTTCTTACTATTATGAAAAAAATTTTTCTTTGACATAATAGCAAAAGGTGATGAAATTGTTTCTTCTTTAAATGACTCTAGTCCTATGGTGGCATTTAGAAATGCATCGTAAGTGAGGGGTTATCACAAAGTCTTTTTTATCTGCTAGTTTATTCTCTACTTTACCTTTAATCATAGTAGGAACAAAGTATAAACAAAATCAGCAAATATAAATAAACATTGTATACATTGTTCTATTTTATTTGTTATTCAACATATGTCTCACTTTGCATTATATAGACCAGAATTCAGGTTCATAGAAGAAAATTCTTTCTTCAGATGAGCATCTTTATTTATATAAATGAAACTAGAAATGGGATTAAGAAATAGTAAAACTTATATACGATATTGAAATCCTATGACCAAGTATATATTAATAAACTTGAAAATATCAGTGAAATAAACATCTCAAAAACTAGAAATGATCAAAATTAACTCAAGACATATAAAACATAAAGAGGTCAATAAACCAGGATTAAATTTTATTTTTTATCCAAGAACTTTAGGGCCAGAGAGTTTACTAATGTTACTTTTAAATTCAAGTAATAGCTTGTGATAGTGTTTGCATAACATAGAGAAAGTGAAATGGTTATTATTGTTCCTGATGATTACAAAATTTGATCAACAGTATGAAAAAATATAGTACAATGGTGCAGCTATTAACATAAATGAATACAAAAGTATAAAATATATACCAACAAGGTATTTCCAATAATACATTAATGTATTGATGAGGTATGATAAGTTTGTTCCAGAAGTTTAAAAAATGTTGTCAATGAATTTGATAAAATTTAATATTCACATTAGAAGTATTACCATTAAAACCAAAATATGGCATACTTATTCTCTCCATTATTTTGGAATAGAAAAAATTATTCTTTGCAGAGCTCATACTTATATGCATAGAATACCCCGGAGAGTTATTTGAAAACTGGCAGACAGTCTTAAAGACTTTAGCTACAAGAACCGGGCGCGGTGGCTCACGCCTGTAATCCCAGCACTTTGGGAGGCCGAGGCGGGCGGATCACGAGGTCAGGAGATCGAGACCATCCTGGCTAACACGGTGAAACCCCGTCTCTACTAAAAATGCAAAAAATTAGCCGGGCGAGGTGGCGGGCGCCTGTAGTCCCAGCTACCCGGGAGGCTGAGGCAGGAGAATGGCGTGAACCCGGGAGGCGGAGCTTGCAGTGAGCCGAGATCGCGCCACTGCACTCCAGCCTGGGCGACTGAGCCAGACTCCGTCTCAAAAAAAAAAAAAAAAAAGAATTTAGATACAATGTAAGTAGCCTAAAAACCAGCAACTTGATGTTGTATCACTGATGACTACTTACAAGATGGAAATGATTTATCATCAATTAAGAAAAAAGCTAAAACGTTTCCGGAAACAATCCTAACAAATCTGTGAGAACTTTACCAAGAAAACTGTAAAGCT